GATGCGCTGGGGTCGCCCGGTGGCCAACTGGGCGGAACGACCGGCCAGGCGGCCCGGCCCCCCGCCCGGGCGACGAGCCGGCCGCCGGGCGGCCCGGAGTTCAGCCTAGCAAAAAAGAACATGGGGTTTTGGAGGGTTGTGTCTCTGCTGGGTTCTCTTATACCCATGGGCCTTGCAAGATAACTTCAGTCGTGATTATTGGGTCTTAATCGCAGTTGTAGAAGGCATGCCTGCCCGGCAAGAGTTTGAGGACACAAGTTCCTTTGCTTTTGTAGGGTTGCCTGCCTGCGCCGCCACAAGAGACATGCAGCTCTTCTCTTCATTTCTGAGGGCACTGGTTTGTGTGGAGCTGAGGGCCATCCCGCACAAGGAAGCATGAACCAGACCGATTTGAGGATCAGGACCCTGCTTCGTACAAATGATCATCACAGCTGTGGCCCCTGCTCCGCACACAACATCTAGAGCATATGCGTTTATGATGAGCTCTACCTCTCGAGAGGTTTTGTTGCATGTCTGGCCAAGGCATCCCCTCTGTCATCTCCACCTCACGATATCTTGCCACTCCCCTGTTCTCTGCGAGGGAATGCCGCTCCACGTTTCTTGGCCTAAGGAGGAACGGGAATTGGCTACCTAAAAACCTGTTGGGTTTATCCCAATCATAGCGCCTGTGGGGCCTGCCCTCGCACCACATCGAGCACACAGGAGTTTATGATGAGCTTCACCTCTCAAGAGGTTTTGCAGCATGTCTGCCCAAGGCATCCTCCTTTTTGTCGTCAACATCTCAAGATATCTTGCTACTCCCTTTCTTGTACAGCGGGATGTTGTTGGTGCTTGTTCCGTGGCCTGAGGAGGAGGGGGGAATTGGCTAGCCAAAAACCTGTTGGGTTTATCCGAGTCCACTTCATTCCTGTTGAACGTGGCCAGGCACTTGTTTTTCGAATAGGTCTCTTAATTTGTTTGTCAGAAGTTCCACTTGTGTTTGATCCCACTACCAGGCAGACCTCTTTCCACAACCATGGCATATGTGTGTATCTCATGAACGTTAATCACTTCCTGTGTACATGTGTGTGTGTGTGTGTGTGTGTGTGTGTGTGTGTGTGTGTGTGTGTGTGCGTTTTGAATTTTCACCACAACAGGCCCTATTCCACCTGGATGAACAAATCCAAAATCAAAGCATATTTAATCCTATCACAGACAATGAAAGCCCTTGAGTTCAGACAACCCAACAATTAAACAGTTTCACCTCTATAGCAAGCACCGTGAAGTACAATAGGTGCATGTAAACCCCTTTTTTGAATGTGTTCACATTTGCCTTCTTCGGGTACCCCTTGTGTGTGTGTGTGTGTGTGTGTGTGTGTGTGCGTGCGTGCGTGCGTGCGTGCGTGTGTGTGTGTGTGTGTGTGTGTGTGTGTGTGGGTGTGTGTGTGTATGACACAGAATGCAGTTGAGATGGGAGTTGAGGAAGCTGGTGATCCGGAGACGTTTGATGATGGTGAATTCTTCCAACAGCTGTTGAGGGAATTCTTGGAAACTGGGAAGCCAAGCGGTGGAGGTAGACTGATTCCTCTCTTTCATCTCACTCTCACCCATCCGTGCTCTGGAAGATGTGTCTCAACTGCGCTGCGTGCTGTTTGTTGATGTGGATCTTGACAGCTTTGCTACTTTTGCCATTCCATCAAATGTACGGTTGACAACGAAAGACAGTGTTAGCTAGCTCTGATGCCAATTCGTATTTCACATTTGTTTCAGGAAGCCTAAGCGGCTATGCGCTGAAGAAACTCAATAAGCAGAAGAAGTTGGTTGATAGGAGGGCTTCCAAGGGGCGAAAAATACGGTGCGTTGTTGCATTCTAACACCCTTGTAACAAACACTCTTGCTCTGCCTTTGTTGAAGAGTGTTGCCGGGAAGTTGTACAACATGCCTTCATTTCCTTTTCGTTTTGTCTTGTTTGACTTGAGACTTGTTAATGAGGGTTGTTGTCTGTCGTCGCTTTTGCATTTTGGTACAGAAATCGAGTGTTCGCTTCTGCTTCTGAGGGTCTTCGCACGGGTATACAACAGGGCTGTGGGGCGGTCCAGTAACCATGTACGAATCACGAAATTGCAGTCGCCAACCCCGACCATTGGATCAGAATCTCAGTGGCAAGAGCCTGTAACAAAACTAAACAACGCGCTCTTGCCGCCGACACCCATTCCTCAGCAACCAAGAGGCTTGTACAAACAATCGGTTTGGCGAAATAGGTTAGAGTACGGTGGTGGATATCAAACTGCACTCTCGTTCTGTGTCACGTTAGAATGGTGCACATTATTCTTCCACCTGGTTCCTTGTCGTGCAAGGATGCGGTGAAGGAGAAACTTGAATTGCGAGCGCATTGTGCCCCAATAGACATGCGTTGACTCGACGACCAAACAATGGGCAGAAACAACAACGCAGTGATCGCACATGCTTTATTATTGGCAGTATTGAAGTCTTGATTAAGAACCACATCCCCAACTAACACTCTGAATTTGTGCAGCGGCCCAGCGGGTCTCAAAAGACACTGCCCGCTGGGTCCATGGGGTGTCCCAGTGGTGTCCCGATTCTGCGGCCTTGCGTTTTGCCTTTTCGTTTCGGAATTCGATTTGGCTGGTCCGAGACTCGAGGCACGCGGTGTTGGTTACTGCGGAGGGTTTTCAGGTGCGGCTCCAACGGGAAAAGGAAGAGCCGACGTAGGGCCTCAAAATCCTGTCGTTCTGTTCTTTCTTTGCTGCGCATGCTCGCTCTGAATGTGGGTTTCCTATTTCTGTTTCTCTTTGCATTGTGCTATGCAGGTCGCTTCTCCCACCTAATGGACAATCAAATCAAATACCCTACCACTAGCCTAAATTAGCCTAACCTCCGTGCTTGATGCCAATGTTGCACAGCACAGTACTGCTCCCACGGAGAATGTGCAACGAGTGATGCCCTCCTCCTCCCCTCACACACTTCCCTCTCAAGGATCTTCTCCCCCTCTGGTGCTCACCCACCTCCCTCCCTCTCTCTCTCTCTCTCTCTGCCCTCCTCCTACCCTCACACACTTCCCTCTCAAGGGTTTTCTCCCCCTCTGGTGCTCACCCACCTCTCTCTCTCTCTCTCTCTCTGGTCTTCTCCCCAGGAGAAGACCCTTGAGAGGGAGTGCGTGAGGGGAGGAAGAGGGCGAGAGAGAGAGAGAGAGAGAGAGAGAGAGAGAGAGAGAGAGAGAGAGAGAGAGAGAGAGAGAGAGAGAGAGAGATCTTTCCCTCCTCCTCTCACACACTTCCCTCTCAAGGGTCTTCTCCTCCTCTGGTGCTCACCCACCTCTCTCTCTCTCTCACACACTTCCTTCTAAAGGGTCTTCTCCCCCTCTGGTGCTCACCCACCTCTCTCTCTCTCTCTCACACACACTTCCCTCTCAAGGGTCTTCTCCCCCTCTGGTGCTCACCCACCTCTCTCTCTCTCTCTCTCTCTCTCTCTCTCTCTCTCTCTCTCTCTCTCTCTCTCTCTCTCT